TTAAATATGTTGCTCCATTTTCTTCTGGCATAAAGTATTGCTGCCAAAAAGTCTGAGGATAATCTAATTCTCCTTCATCTAAGTCACTTGCTCTTTTTGTCTAGATGCCCAAAGAAATTTGCATTATTTTCTCTTTAAAGTCTAGTATTTTTACAAGAATGTGTCTTAGTGTTGATAATTCTAGGTTAATTTTCTCAGGTGCAATGTGTTCTCTCAATGCCTAGATGCAAACATATATATTTTTTTATTTCAAGAAGGCTTTCTTGAAGTCTAGTTTGTAGTATTTGTTTTCTTATCCTTGCCTCCTTTTCTCCCCCCTCGGACTCCTATTACCGGAAGGCTGGGTCTCCTTTGCCTAGTTTCAATATTTGCCATTTTCTCTCTGATTTTTTTTAAACCTCTCTTCATTGATTTTTAAAGTCTTCCTCCTCTTCATCTTAAAGCATAATCAAATGCATTTACTAACCTTGGGTTTCTTTTAGTTTAATCTTCATTTCCAAAGTAATTTTTTTCTTATTTCGATTTCTATTCTGAGTTTGTTCATGTCATTTTGATTGTTTCTAACTCTGATTTATATAGTTCATTCATGTCTCATATCATTTTCTTAGTGTCTTTAAGTAGTGGGTGTTAGTTTTGATCTACCCTGTGGGCATGTCTTTCTGCCGTGCTTTTATTGTCTGTAGAAGTGCTATTCGGTTCTTATTCTCTTTTTCACTACAGTGGTCTTCTATGGGATTTGACTTCCATACTTTCTTGTTGCTTGTGTATATGTGAAGTGGGTTTTCTTGAACTTTTTGAAGGAGGCAGTTTTCAGGATAGCTTTTCTGACTTCACAGAGAACCTTTTTCTGTTTTTATAGTGCGGTATTAACATTTTTAAAAGTCAGCTTACTTTCAGAGACTTTCTGGTCCTTTTTTTTTTTTTTTTTTTCTGGACCTTCTCTTTCCTTTGTCTCTATCCGGTTCAAATTTGTTTCCCTGCCCATAAGTCTGTCCTCAGTGTGGGCCCCTTTCCTAAGGAAGCCTTGGTAGGTCAATTTCAAGAGTTGCTACAGTTCTATTGCTCCAATCTCCTCAGAACTTACTGTGAGTCCCTCGCACTCTGATGACCTTGGAGATAACAAACACCCTTTCCTATTTCAGCGGCTCTTCTCAACTTGACTGGCCGGGCCTTCCAGTGAACACCTTCTGGCTATTTTGGAATTTTCCAGATGCCTCACTGATTCCCTTTGCTGATACCATAAAGATCTTGTGACGGCTATTGCTTTGTCCTCACTTGCCTGTCCTGGAGATCGTGGGGATACCATTTCACTTAGGCTTGTTGTCAACGTCATCCATGGGTTTTGGTTTTGCTTTAGAACTGCTTTGCCTGTTTTTATGTGGAGCAAACAATAATGCTGCTGCTGTCATTTTCCCAGAATCTCCTCTCAAGAAACAGATTTTTTTTTGTTGTTGTTGTTTTTGGTTTTGGTTTTAAACAAATTACTTAATAGTCATCTTAAAGGTCCACATACCCAGGCAATGGCACAGTTTTGTAGACAGTGTGCGTAACCATGTCTTACCTTTCCCACTGCTTCCACCATTAGCTTCTTTTATCTGGACTATTCTAGTAGCTCCCAACTAGTCTCCCGGCTTCTACCGTGCGGTACCTCTACAGCAGTAGGAGTGATTTTAAAGCATCAGCCAGATCATGTCACTCTCAGCTCAAAATATTGCAAAAGCTTTTCTGAACTTTCAGGCCCTCTGAGATCTGGCCTGTTCTTTCTCTCCAACTTTCTCTCCCAGTGGCTCAGGTTGCTTCAGCCAGCTGCATTGGCCTCAAACACACCAGGCAGGCTTTCACCTCAGGGCATTTGCGCTTCCATCCCCTCTGTTCCCAAGCTTTTCCTTCTGCCTTCCACCTGGCTTGCTCCCTCACTACTTTGGTCTCTGCTCAAATGTCATCTTATCAGAAAGGCCTTCCATGACCTCCCCTCCCATCACAAAATGGAACTCTCATCCTCTTCCCATGTTTTATTTTTCTTCATGGCTCTTTCTACCATCTGACCTGTTATATATTCATTTTTTATGTATCGTTCTACCCATAATGCCATGAAAGTAGGAACTTTGTCTTCTTGGCAATTTGAACAGGTTTTTTTTTTTTTAGCACAAAGGTAGCACTTGATACAAATTTGGTAACTGAATGAATATATAAAATACCCAGCACCTAACAGGTATTCAAGAAATGTTGGCACTTTTTTTTCTTCATAGGGGAAAGGAAGTGATCTGTAGGGAATACCACTATCTGCCGTGATAGAACCAATAATGGAACAGAGTGAGAAAAATAAGAGAACAAAATAGTGGCATTAAAGCCCAAAGAAGGGGTAGTCAAAGTATCAAGGAGGTCAGAGCTGAATAGAGGCTATAAGACTGGTGCTATAGACTGTACTGTATCCTCCCAAAATTCATATTTTGAAGCCCTGACCCCAATGTGACTACATTCGGAGATCCTTTAGGAGGTAATTAAGTTTAAGGGAGATAGATAATGATAAGGGTGGGATCCTGATCCAACAGGATCCGTGCCCTTAAAAGAAGAGATACCAGAGCACATGTGCTCACTGTCTCTCTCTCTCTCTCTCTCTGTCTCCCTCTCTCTTGCTCTCTCCCTCTCTCCCTCTCTCCTTCCCCCACCCTCAGGCCTATGAAAACACAGCCACCATTGGCAAGCAAGTCAAAGAGCTCTTAGGAGAAACCTATCTTGTCTCTACCTTGATCTTGGACTTCCCATCCTCTAGAACTCTGAGAAATAAATTTGTTGTTTAAGCATAGAGTCTGTAATATTTTGTTATGGCAGCCCAAGCTGACTAATACAATTAGGTATCTGAAAAGGTCATAAAATTTAGCATTAGCTTAATAAGAAATCTGGAAATCAAAGTTTTTCTACTTGTCAATTGTAGGGTCACATCTTAGAGCTGTAGATCCTAAGAAAACCAATATGACAAAATTTAAATCACAAAGTCACTTAAGTATAAAGGAAAACCCATATATTGCTTGAAGAGTATTTGTGGGGAAAAAAATCCATTTTCCCCCAGTTTTGAGATATAATTGACATATACCTCTGTATAAGTTTAAGGTGTACAGCATAATGGTTTGAATTACATATACTGTGAAATGATTACTGCAATAGGTCTAGGTAGCATTCATCAACTTACACAGACACAATAAAGAGAAAGCAAAGAGAAAACTTTTTTCTGGTGATGAGAACTCATAGGATTTACTCTCTTAACAGCTTTCCTATCTATCATACGGCTGTATTAACCATACATTACACCACGCTATATATACATCTCTAACATTTATGTATCTTGTAACCAGAAGTTTGTACCTTTTGACCACCTTCCTCCAATTTCCACCTCTGGTAACCACAGATCTGATCTTTTTTGCATGACTTTTTTTTTTTAAATCCATTTAAGGAAGAAAAGTCACAGACTATTCATAAAAATTAAAAAAAAAATATGTTCACAAGTGTTTTTAACACCTATGACCACATGACCTTAACATTTTAAAGTACAATTGTGGTTCCTGAGCAAATGAAATCATGTGTTACCCAAATTAACAACAAAGATCAGTAGGGTTCTGAATCCAGGACAAGTTATTTTCAGAGAAAAAGCAAACTTTTGAATCTTAAAATTTAATGTTTCAATTAGCAACACTTGTCAGTATGATTGTGATTCATATGACCACACTGCAGCTTCCTTGTGACATTAGTTATAAAATGCTGGATTAGGGTTTTATTCTTCAAAGCAGAAGAATCAAGTCTCAACTAATAGATTCACCAAAATGATACATCACTGGCCCCTTTCCACCAAAGGCTGCTCCAGTTTAGAGTTAAGAAATGCCCTGTGCTCGATATGCTGAAATTCATCTGTTCTTTACAATTAATGGGTGGATTATTTGCCCCATAGCCTATTGAACGCCCCCACGCTGTTAGTGCCTCACTCTCACTGGGCTTTTGATCATTTTTCTGCTCACTAGTATCTTTACCTGCGAGGATGGGCAAGAAAAGAAAGGGAGGTAACTTGCTTAATGTCTTTTTCCACATTAAATTTTAATAAGGAGGGTAAAAGTTAGTAAACTAAGTTGAGGAGTCTGGATTGCCTGCCGATATCATCTGCCGATAGTCCCCAGGCCCGCGCATCCCATGGAAATCAGCAGTCTGCTCAGCGGGTAGGACATCCCAGCCTCAAAGCTTTGGGCAAAGACAACAGATGGGATGATGGAAGAAAATCTTCCCCAATTGTGGGGCCTTTGAGCTTTATCACATGCGGTACAGACCGCGCTGGACGTTTGAGCCTGGTCACTGCTGGCATTACCAGTCCACTTTCCCAGGGCGGGTCCCTCACACGCTGGATGCACAGTTGTGACTGAGTCCGGGGCACCAGAGGCCCCTTCCCCAGTGTCCCGGGCTCCTCCAGACGACTTAAAAAACCACAATGATCACGCGAGCTGGGTGACAAACGAGCAGCAGCGCAGAGAGCTGTCCCAGGAAAGGAGAGCACGGAGCAGCCAAAAAAGAGAGGGATCAGAGTCAAGGTCGCCGGCCCCCTCCAGCCTCAGCCATGACCCCCGCGGGCCGCCGTAGGTCCCCGTGAGCCGCCGAGAGCCCTGCGGGCCGCCGTAGGAGCGCCGTCCCTAGGCTGCGCTCTCAAGATGGCTGCCGAGCCCCGCTCCCCCCGGCGCCCTCGCTGAGGTCCCGGCAGCAGGCGAGCGGGGCGAGCCTTGCCTTCCGGCACCAGCGCGGCCTAGAGGCCGGCCGCCGGCCCCGCACGCACCGTCTCTCGGGGCGGGGCGCCGGGCCCCTTCCGGGGATGGGCCCCGGCACCCAAGTCGACCCGACTTTGCCCCGGCTCCTCCCCGCTCGGGCGGGCGCTCCGCCGTGTCCCCGCCCGTCAGTCCGCCCGGCCCGGCTGGCCGCAGACGGGGCTTGGGCGGCCGCACGGGCAACTCCGAACCCCCGGGCATCGGGAGGCATCGACGCTACTGCTGACCGGCGGCCGGTCCCGGGTTGCGACCCGGCCAGAGCGATAAGGCGGCGGCACCATGTTCTCCCTCAAGCCTCCCAGACCCACCTTCAGGTCCTACCTCCTGCCGCCGCCCCAGGTAAACAACCCCAGCCCCGCGAGCGCCCCTCTCCTTGGCGCTTCCTGGGAGCCGCCGGGCCGACCCCCGGGAGGCTCCCCCGGTCTCCCTGTTCCCAGCCGCGCGATTGCCAGAGCCCCGACGCCGGGAAAAGCGCCTTCTCGGGAGCCCCCACTGGCTCGGTGGAAACTTGTAAAACTTCGGCGCAGCCATTCTCAGCCCAGAGACCTGTGATCCGTAGTTGTGCCGTGTGATGAGACTCGAGGGAGTGTTTGGAGTTGGGTTTATTTAGTTCTTCGCCTGGCGGTTGTCCGCACTGTGGTCGCCGGCATGATTGCATCGCTTGTGGGCATCTGGTGGAAGAGGTTACCTGTCATAAATGTGAACACCTGGAAGCGGCACAGGCTGTTTTAATATTTTTGTCAGACTCCCAATTGATAATGAAGAGGTCTTTAAAAGATCTGGTAAAACGTGAAAGATTTTAAGGGGGCGGGGGAAATATGTGTGTGTTGCATGTGTCATCACTTAGAAAACAAAAATTGCTTTCGTATATCTCACGGGGAGGAAAAGTTTTGATCTTGATTTATTTTGCTAATGTATTTCAGACTGACGATAAGATTAATTCGGAACCGAAGATTAAAAAACTGGAGCCAGTCCTTTTGCCAGGTAAACATCAGAGTTTCAACAGATACTTCAGGAATGTGTTTTGGTCCAAGATTATTCTACCAACTAGTACTATGTGGCTAACTTCTCCCTTGTATTTACGTTAAACTTTATCCGGTTAAAAATCTAACGACTGAGATGACAGAAAAACTTGGTTAGAACTAAACAACAGCAACAAAAAGTAGTGATTAATTTGGTGTTTGTCCTTGAAAATGTAAGCACCCTAGAAAGCTCTCAAGAATATCACTACCTCATTTCTTTTTTTGTCTCCTGAAATGTTCATTTTTGAAGCAATCATTAATTGGTTAGGTAGTGAGAGTACCCTTTGCCCTTCTTGTCTGCAACTTCATGCATTAATGATTAATAGGTCATCATTTTAATAGTATGAAAAGCAGCTTTTATTATGTTTGGGTCGCTATACCAATAACAAAGCTTAGTGAACGTTGAATTACTTACTTGGCAATTGTTTTTTTTGAAGGTGTCAGCTGTGTTTGCAAATTGTTTCAGTTTAGAATGGGGTTTCACGACAGAGGCTCTGCGAAACATATTGGGCCCAGTAATCCTTTGGTATAGGGACTATCCCGTGCATTATAGGATGTTTAGCAGTATCCCTGTCCTCTACTCACCAAATGCCAGTAGTACCCCCTTCTCCACCTCCTAGTGTGACCACCAAGATGTCTCCAGACGTTGCCAAAACTTTTTGTCTTTTGTGTCCAGGAGCAAAATCTCCTCCCAGTGGAGAAGCACTGGTTTAGAGCAAAATTTACCTTGAAACACCTTAAGAGGTAGAGGTAGGAATTGGTGATAAGTAGGAGTTAAGTTTTAAAGCATATAAAATATGATTTAATTGGTATTTTGAATTGTATAACAATTATGTAATGATTAGGAAAATTTGGTTGTTTAATATGATTCTTGCGAGGAGTAGCCAGATAGGAAAGCCTGTTTTTTTAAACCTGAAATCTAATCAAATACCAATTTGTGCGGCTACTGTCAACATTTAAAAATCTTAGTCATTACTTAATGCTAAATCTAGTAAAGTGATTAGAACTTTATAGGTAGTAATTGAATATGGAAACTTTATTTTGTGCTTCAAATTTTAAATGTTAAGTAGGAACAAACATTACAATCAACCTGTGGTTCAGTATTATAGATGCTAACTCTTAAAAATTGTTTTCAACTTTATTATGGGACTTAGTTATAAATATTTTGCCTTTATTTTGTTAATGCTTTTTATCCAACCAGTGTGTACTAAATAATCCTTTGTACTTTTCCTGAGAGTGAACAATAGAAATAATAAGTAACCATTGCTCCCTGTGCATGCTCTTGTTTTAGCCTTAGTCACTCCAGGCATTTAAAAAAAGTCAGCTGTGGGAAACAGTACTCATCTTAATTGAGTGCCTATGAGCTATTGAACTTTGGCTTCCTTTACTTTGTCTGAATAGGCCCTGTTCCTAGGCCTTGATTTCCCTCTTCTGATATTATGATTTGGCATTAATAAACCACAGGTCTTAGATATAAATGATAGTGCTTGATTTTTTAGGATTGACTTTTATATTTAAGATATGCTTATGAAAGAGTTATTAAATATCAGCAGGAAGAACTACAGAATTAACTAAAAACTTACCTTTCTACTAAAAAGTCACAGTTCTCTGGGGAAGATATGAACTCATTTCCTGTCTATAAGTGGTTTATGAGTCCTAGAAAGGGCAGCTAAATGTAGATATTCTGATACGTGTTACTTTTTCTACATTGGCTCTGGGTATGCAAACATGATGGCTCTGGTATGCTGGGTTCTGTTTGCAGCTAACCTGTTTCTTACAAAACAGTTAGCCAATCCTAGATGAGTGTGTCTTTTGCCTTCCTTCCTCAGACCTTTCTTTCTCATCGTGGCCTTCTCATACACTCCCCAGTTTCTTTCTACCTGGCCACCCCGTTTTGGTCTCTGTTTCCTACTTCCCCTCTTGAGCCACCTGTCTGACTACCACTAGAACCTCCGTTGCTCCTCCTCTGGCCTGCGTCCTACTACTCGACTGTGAAATCTGGAAGACAGCTGGAAAGTAATTGAGGCATTGGTGATCTAAAGACCTGGGCTAGGTTAGGGTTTTTACTAAGAGGGCTTAATAGTATAGTTCTTGCCTTAGTTACAGTCAGAAACCAAGAGGAAGCTTGGCCAAGTCACCTGTGGCTTTACACAGGCACACGGAACAAGAAGTAATTGTTCAGAGATATAGTATTGCATGTTATACTTTGGCATAGTGCCTTAGGTTCAAGGATATCCTACTTCAGTTGCCCAAAGTTTGAACTTTTACAAGCAGATGAAAATTAGACACGAAATGAATCATGTGTAGTTACTGTGTGTTCCTTTGGAACTTAACAAGGCTAAATTTAAAATGATCTTCGTCTTTTATTAAGTGAAGAAAATAGAAGAAACTGGTAATTTAATTTCGATTGTGCTTTGTGTTAGTAATTTTCAGTTTGCCTGGTTCATGAATCTCCTTGAGATAGAGGTTTGTGTCTAATTCAGCTTTGTAGACTTGATGTCTAGTGTAGTGCATTGAGCTGCTGCTTGAGTGTCTGACTAAATGAAAGAACCCCTGGAACACAATTGTTACCATAGCCATACACACAGGCAGACAGACCAGCTCTCAGATTCAGTAGTGGGAGACTGTTATTTTATGCCATGTGTCTCTGCTGTCTCCGAGAGCCACACTTCTTAAGAGAATTATTATCTGAACCTGGAACTGAGATACAGTGCCCTGTCAAAGCAGTTAGCTTTGGGCTTTCTCTTCATCTTCCCATCATTACAGGAATCTTGTTCTTTTAATGATTGTGTTGTATATGTGTAAAATCACCCCAATCCTTTTGAAAATAGGGAGTGTTTGAATTTTTAAATACGTGTGTGTGCGTGTATGTTCCAGCATATATTTGTTAAGGGCAAGTCCTGCCAGGCTATGTTCATATATTTTGGAGGGGAGGGCAGAGAGGGAGAGAGAATCTTAGGCAGGCTCCACACCCAGGACGGAGCCTGATGTGGGGTTCTATCTCAGAACCCTGAGATCAGGATCTGAGCCAAAAATCAGGAATTGGACACTTAACTGGCTAAGCCACCCAGGCACCCCAGACTATGCTCATATCTTTTTCGGATAGCTGCTGGACTGCTGAAGCAGTTCACTGAGCACCTGAGCTGGGTACCTGGCTCTGTGCTAGATGGGGAAAGTGCTAGAGGAGTGGTGTGCCTGCATCACAGCAACCCCTGTGGACAAGGTAGAAGATAGTGACCTAGATTACTGTGTTCCAGGATCTGGCTGGCATCAGATCTGGATGAAGTTTTTACCAGCCCTTGGTCCAGTTGAGAAAATTAGGAAAAATGGCAGCTTTTTTCCCACAGCGCTAAGTTGATTTAAAGGATTTTCCTGTATTCTGAGATTTTGTTCTTCCAGCTTCCTCGGTATATATTCTCTGTTAAATGATGGTGGTAGTAGCTATGGCTTTAAAGAAGTTTTTAAGTTAGCAATATAAAAGATTAAGAAATCTGTGTTGGTTGCCTGAATTGTTTTTATAGTATACCTGATTTGTGGAATCTGAACTAGAAACCACTTGATAAGGTTTTTGTAATATCATAGATATAATTTCTTAAAAAGATTTATTTATTTTAGAGAGAGAGAGAGAGCACACAAGTGGGAGGGGCAGAGGGAGAGGAAGAGAGAATCCCAAGCAGATTCCTCGCTGAGCAGGGAGCCCAGTGTGGGGCTGGATCCCAGGACCATGAGATGACTTGAGCTGAAACCAAGAGTCGATGCTTAACCAACTGCACCACCCAGGTGACCCCATAGGTACAATTTAATGAGCACTTACACAGAGAACATCAGTAATTTTGTCTGCCTAGGAATCATTTCACTGTCTTCTGAAAAACGCACCCTCTCTCCTTTGACACATCGCTCTTCCCCATCCCCACACTGCCTTGGGTTCTAGTGTGGCCAGCAAGGATAATAACGCACCCCCAGACTGCAAGAATGGGCGCAGTTCTGCCTCTGGATATTTTCAGATTCCTTTTTGGTAATTCTGCCAGTGGCCATAGTTCCAGAAACTATGTTTTAGAGAGAGGCAGAGGCATAACACTAAGGAGGACTTCTGAAGGTGTTCAAGCTCCTGGGCTCCATTTTCCTTGAAGTCCAGTTAACACAAAAGCCACAGATTTCTTTTTACTTAGCTAGCTCCAGGCACACGTCTGATACTTTCAACTAAAATCTTTAATATATAGCTTTCAGTTTACTCTTCATAACAGCTGTCTCGGGGAGGCACCCATTTATCTTCATGTGCCCGATGAGATGACTATAGTTGCACATGGTAACTTGCCCAGTACACACAGCTAGCAAGGGCAGAGCCAGAATTGTGAGCCCAATTCCCAGGCTATGCCTTTAACCACTAAGTAACAGGGCCTACCTGGCCGCACTGGTGACATTAGGGTACAGATTTATGCTTTGGAACTGGAGAGGGGCTGGATTGGATGTCAGCCTAGAAGTTCTCTAGTGAGGTAAAAAGAGCTCTGTCCTTGGCTGTGCCCTTTCCACAGCAGTGACAGATTTTGACCCAACTTGAGGAGCAACTTTCATTTTCAGCTGCCAGAAAACGGACTGCCTTGGTGGCAGTGGACTTCCTGTCATGGCCGTGCCGAAGCAGAGGCTGGTGGAATGCCAGCGGCTTTGTCATGAGGTGGTGAGCTTTGCAGTAAGTGGGCTTTTTGGCCTTTTCTCTCTTCTAACTCTGGGGCAGGATCTTAAGCATCTGTGAGGTGGGAGGGAGGATAGCTTGAAACACTGTGGCTAACAGTAACGAGTTCACAGTTCCACAGGTATCGAATGCATGTTCCACGCTGTTCTGTTCGGCGGAGGCATAAAAAGCTGAAAAAGTTGGGGTCCTGCCCTTAGGTGGTTTCAGTTCATTGGGGGAAATGCTTCAGGAGAGCAGAGGTGGCGAGGGCTCTGAGGAGGGTCACCGAAGCG